AGGGGAGGGGAGGGGAGGGGAGGGAAGGGGAGCTCCCCCGCTCACTCTTGTTGCGCAGGGACACCGACTGCAGGGCTGAGCTGTTCTTCAGCAGCGCCGCCTTCTGCTGCTGCGGGGGAGCGGAAGCGTCACTGTCCCCGCGTCACTGTCCCCGCGTGTCCCCAGCGTCCCCCGTCCCCTCCTTCCCCACGCACCCCTCACCCCGCGCTCACCTTCTGCTTCACCTTGGTGCAGTTGGGCAGCGTGTCCTTGCAGCGGTTGTGGATGGTGACGTTGCAGGCTGGGGGACACCCAGAGGTGACCGAGGGGTCGCGGGGACCCTCCTGCCACCCCCTCCTCCCCCGGCTCCCGGCAGAGCGACGGCAGCAGATGCGGTGGGAACGCGGGTGGGCGCGGATCGCCCGCAGCTGCCACCGAGCAGCTGCCACCGAGGCCGAGGGCACCGCGCCAGCCAGGGGCCACCAGCGCCAGGGAGCCGGGATGTGCCGCGGTGGAGAAATGGAGAAACCATCTCCCGCTCCGGGCAACAAACCCGGCAGGAATTGGGCTCTGGGAACGGTGCCCAGGCGGCGATGCCACCCCAAAAAAAGTCGTCTTGGAAAAGCCACCGCGGGCAGAGTCGTCCCGGCGAGGCCGCCCCAAAAAAAAGCCGTCCCAAAAAAAGCCGCCCCGGCAGAGCTGCTGCGGCAAATCCGACGTGGCAAAGCCACCCCAGCAATCCCGCCCCAGCAGAGCCACCCCAAAAAAAGTCATCCCAAAAAAAGCCTCCTCAGAAAAGCCACTGCGGCAAAGCCACCCCGGCAAAGGCGCCATGGCAGAGCCACCCCAGAAAAAGCCACCCCGGCAAGTCCAGGCTGCAAAAGTCACTGCGGCAATGCCACCCGGGCCAAGGCACCCAGAAATGCCATCCTGGCAAAGCCGCCGTGAGAAAGCCACCCCAGAAAATTCCTGCTGGCAATTCCTTTCCAGGAAATGCACCCTGGCAAAGGCACTGCAGCAAAGCCAGCCTGGAAATTCATCCTGGCAAAGCCAGCCTGGCATTTCTGCCCTGGCAGAGCCAACCTGGAAAAGCCATGCCATCGTGTCGACCCCAGCCCTGCCAGGCTGGCAAAACCAGGATGGAAAAGACACCCCAGGAGAGGCATCCCAAAAAATGCACTGCGGCAAAGCCACCCTGGCAACTCCGCTCTGGAAAAGCTACCCTGGTAATGCCACCCTGGCAAAGCCACCCTGGCAAAGCCACCTCATCAAATCCACCCTGGCAAAGCCACCCCAGCAATGCCACCCCATCAAATCCACTGTGGCAATGCCACCCTGGCAATGCCACTGCAGCAATGCCACCCTGGCAAAGCCACCCTGGCAAAGCCACCCCAGCAATGCCACCCTGGTAATGCCATCCCGGCAAAGCCACTGCAGCAATGCCACCCCAGCAATGCCACACTGGTAATGCCACCCTGGCAAACTGGCAATTCCTTTCCAGGAAATGCACCCTGGCAAAGGCACTGCAGCAAAGCCAGCCTGGAAATTCATCCTGGCAAAGCCAGCCTGGCATTTCTGCCCTGGCAGAGCCAACCTGGAAAAGCCATGCCATCGTGTCGACCCCAGCCCTGCCAGGCTGGCAAAACCAGGATGGAAAAGACACCCCAGGAGAGGCATCCCAAAAAATGCACTGCGGCAAAGCCACCCTGGCAACTCCGCTCTGGAAAAGCCACCTCATCAAATCCACCCTGGCAAAGCCACCCCAGCAATGCCACCCCATCAAATCCACTGTGGCAATGCCACCCTGGCAATGCCACTGCAGCAATGCCACCCTGGCAAAGCCACCCTGGCAAAGCCACCCCAGCAATGCCACCCTGGTAATGCCATCCCGGCAAAGCCACTGCAGCAATGCCACCCCAGCAATGCCACACTGGTAATGCCACCCTGGCAAAGCCACTGCAGCAATGCCACCCTGGCAAAGCCAACCCCAGCAATGCCACCCTGGCAACTCTGCCCGTGGAAAAAGCAACCTGGCAATGCCACCCTGGCAAAGCCAACCCCAGCAATGCCACCCTGGCAACTCTGCCCGTGGAAAAAGCAATCTGGCAATGCACCCTGGCAAAGCCACCCCATCAAATCCACCCTGGCAAAGCCACCCTGGCAATGCCACCCTAGAAATGTCATCCTGGCAATGCCACCCTGGAAATGTCACCCCGGCAAAGCCACCCTGGCAATGCCACCCCATCAAATCCACCCTGGCAAAGCCACCCTGGCAATGCCACCCTGGCGGTTCTGCCCCTGGCAAAGCCACCCCAGCCATGCCACCCCAGCCATGCCACCCTGGAAATGCCATCCCAGCAATGCCACCCTGGCAGTTCTGCCCCTGGCAATGCCACCCCATCAAATCCCCCTTGGAAATGCCACCCCAGCAATGCCACTCTGGCAAAGCCACCCTGGCAATGCCACCCTGGCAATGCCACCCTGGAAATGTCATTCTGGCAATGCCACCCTGGCAATGCCACCCCATCAAATCCCCCTTGGAAATGCCACCCTGGCAATGCCACCCCACCGAAGCCACCCCACCGAAGCCACCCCAGCCACGCCACCGCGTCACCCCCCCCCCTCCACATCCCCCCCCCCCTTCCCCCCCCGGGGCGGCTCCGGGCTCCAACCCCGGCAGCCCCCCCAAAAACCGCCTCGGGACCCCCCCCCAGCTCCCCTTCCCCATCCCGAAGGGGGTCCCGGGGTCTGTCCCTGCTCCCGACCCCCCCGAGGGTGGGGCAGAGGCTGAGGGACCCCCCGGGGGGAGCCTGGGGGAGGGGAGGAAGAACGGGGGGGACCCTACGGGACGGGAGTGAGACCCCCACGGGCACCTCTGGGACCCCCTTGGGCACCTTTGGGACCCCCTTGGGCATTTTTGGGACCCCCACGGGCACCTTTGGGACCCCCATGGACACTTTGGGACCCCTTTGGGCACTTTTGGGACCCCCATGGACACTTTAGGGACCCCCTTGGGCACCTTTGGGACCCCCTTGGCCACTTTAGGGACCCCTTGGACACTTTGGGACCCCTTGGGGCACTTTTGGGACCCTCATGGACACTTTAGGGACCCCCTTGGCCACTTTAGGGACCCCTTGGACACTTTGGGACCCCTTTGGGCACGGTTGGGACCCCTTTGGACACCATTGGGACCCCTTTGGGCACGGTTGGGACCCCCTTGGGCACCTTTAGGACCCCCTTGGGCACCTTTGGGACCCCCTTGGCCACTTTGGGACCCCCTTGGCCACCTTTGGGACCCCCTTGGGCATCTCTCGGACCCCCTTGGGCACCTCTGGGACCCCCTTGGGCACCTTTGGGACCCCCTTGGGCACCTTTGGGACCCCCTTGGCCACTAGAGGGACCCCCACGGGCACCTCTGGGACCCCCACGGGCACTTTTGGGACCCCTTTGGGCACGGTTGGGACCCCTTTGGGCACTTTTGGGACCCCCATGGACACTTTAGGGACCCCCACGGGCACCTCTGGGACCCCCATGGACACTTTGGGGCCCCCTTGGGAGGACACTTTAGGGACCCCCACGGGCACCTCTGGGACCCCCACGGGCACTTTTGGGACCCCTTTGGGCACGGTTGGGACCCCTTTGGGCACTTTTGGGACCCCCATGGACACTTTAGGGACCCCCACGGGCACCTCTGGGACCCCCACGGGCACTTTTGGGACCCCTTTGGGCACGGTTGGGACCCCTTTGGGCACTTTTGGGACCCCCATGGACACTTTAGGGACCCCCACGGGCACCTCTGGGACCCCCACGGGCACTTTTGGGACCCCTTTGGGCACGGTTGGGACCCCTTTGGGCACTTTTGGGACCCCCATGGACACTTTAGGGACCCCCACGGGCACCTCTGGGACCCCCACGGGCACTTTTGGGACCCCTTTGGGCACGGTTGGGACCCCTTTGGGCACTTTTGGGACCCCCATGGACACTTTAGGGACCCCCACGGGCACCTCTGGGACCCCCACGGGCACTTTTGGGACCCCTTTGGGCACGGTTGGGACCCCTTTGGGCACTTTTGGGACCCCCATGGACACTTTAGGGACCCCCACGGGCACCTCTGGGACCCCCACGGGCACTTTTGGGACCCCTTTGGGCACGGTTGGGACCCCTTTGGGCACTTTTGGGACCCCCATGGACACTTTAGGGACCCCCACGGGCACCTCTGGGACCCCCACGGGCACTTTTGGGACCCCTTTGGGCACGGTTGGGACCCCTTTGGGCACTTTTGGGACCCCCATGGACACTTTAGGGACCCCCACGGGCACCTCTGGGACCCCCACGGGCACTTTTGGGACCCCTTTGGGCACGGTTGGGACCCCTTTGGGCACTTTTGGGACCCCCATGGACACTTTAGGGACCCCCACGGGCACCTCTGGGACCCCCACGGGCACTTTTGGGACCCCTTTGGGCACGGTTGGGACCCCTTTGGGCACTTTTGGGACCCCCATGGACACTTTAGGGACCCCCACGGGCACCTCTGGGACCCCCACGGGCACTTTTGGGACCCCTTTGGGCACGGTTGGGACCCCTTTGGGCACTTTTGGGACCCCCATGGACACTTTAGGGACCCCCACGGGCACCTCTGGGCCCCCCATGGACACTTTGGGACCCCTTTGGGACCCCCTTGGGCACCTTTGGGACCCCCTTGGGCACCTTTGGGACCCCCTTGGGCACCTTTGGGACCCCCTTGGGCACCTTTGGGACCCCCTTGGGCACCTTTGGGACCCCCTTGGGCACCTTTGGGACCCCCTTGGCCACTTTGGGACCCCTTTGGGCACCTTTGGGACCCTCTTGGGCACCTCTGGGACCCCCATGGACACTTTAGGGACCCCCTTGGCCACTTTGGGACCCCCTTGGGCACTTTGGGACCCCTCAGAGCAGCACTGTGACCCCAGTGGCACCCCCGGGACAGGACCCCGTTGTCCCCCCGTGTCCCCACCCGCGGGGGTCTCACCCTGTCCGCCCTCGGGGGTCCCTCGGCCTCCCCCTCGGCGGGGAACGGGGCGCAGGAGCAGCAGCACATCCCGGACGCCCCCGGACCCCCCCCGAGCCCGGCGGCGCCTCCGGCCGCGACATCTCCGCGACATCTCCGCGACATCCGCCCCGATTGTTCCCGCCCGCTTGTTTGTTTTCCTTTGATTTTTTTTTTTTCCCCTTCGCTCCGCCGGTTTTTGTTTGTTTTTCTTTTCTTTCCCCTCCGTTTTTTGTTCATTTCTTTTTTTTTTTTTTTTTTTCCCTTTCTTTATTTTCCTGCCTTTCTTTTTATTTCAATTTTTGCTTTTTTTTGCTTTGATTTCCCTTTATTCTTTTCGCCCTTTCCCCCCCTATTTTTTCCCCTCTCCGTCCCTTCACTTTCTTTCCTTTATCTTTCTGCTTTTCTTTCCTTTTTTATCTTTCCACCCCGCTTTTCCTTCCTTTTTTTTCCACCTTCCCCCTTTTTAACTGCTTTTCCTTTTTACCCTTATCTCCCCTTTTTACTTTATTTTCCTTTTTAACCGATTTTTCCTTCTTCTCCCTTTTTATTTCCCCCCCTGTTAATTCCCCTTTTTTACACTTAATTCCCCTTTTTTTCCCCCCCACTTTTCCCCCCTCTATTTTTTATTTTTTTTAATCGTTTTTCTCCTTTTCCCCGTGACTTTTCCCCGCACCCATTTCCGCCTTTTCCTCCCCTTTTTTGGGCCCCCCCCCCGAGGCGAAGGAAACCGAACCGCGCCAGACAAAGGCGGGAGCCGCCGCCGCTTCCTGCCCGCCCCTCCCGGGACCCCCCGGGACCCCCGGGACCCCCCTAACAAAACCCTCAAGCCGGGGAGGGGGGGTCACACCCTCAAAACCCCCTGTGAGGATTTAAGGGGTCCCACTTTTTTTTTTTGGGGGGAAACAGCAAATTTTGGGGGTCTCGAGGGGAAACAAAGCCCCCCGGGG